GATTTTCAGAGAATTTCAAACATCAAATGTACACATCTATCCAATCTGCTATTTTTATATAAAGAACAACAAATGTCAAAAAAAAAAAAAAAAAAAAAAGCTAAGCAACCTTTCACAGAAAGGAAGTGACTGAAAACACAGTAAGAAAAAGGAGCACAGGTACAGGAAGGGAAAAACGCAATGACTGATGAGGCTAGATTTCCACAGGCAGTGATACAAAAAATTCACCTTGATCTTTGATTTGAACTATGTGGTTTGCTGCTTTGATTCGGATGGTTTTACTTTACTCCTTGCATAGATTCCCCCAACCCAGTAAAAAAGTAGCTTGTTGAGAGACACCTGGGTTTGTTTCCATCTCTGGAAGCCAGCACAGGTAAAGCAATATAAACTACTGATGATTCATTGCTGGAGATGGATAAAACTAGCTATCTTCAAAAACCATGATTAATGACAATGAACCAAGATTGGAGGGAAACATGCAATGAGAGGAAAACAAGGGAAAACCCTGAATTGTTACAGCCCGGCTTCTTGGGCAAAATGTGGTATGGGAGGAAGAGAGGGCCTTCATTGTTCCCTTTCTGAAAATTTGAAATCTTTCAAGCACTTTCTTTTCTGCCCATCCTTTGCACACAATATGGAAATATAGGAGGTATTAGGGGAGAGGAGAAGTTTAAAATGAGAGTATGCAACAAAAGTTTTCCTAGGATACCAGTAGCAAAATTTCAGATAAGAAGTCACTCGAGGACATGCATTGAGGACAGAAGGCAAATGGGAGATAGGAAATGACAGGTCAAAATGACGCTGGGTACAATAAAGTTAGATGAGCAAAACACAGGTATTTTTTCTCCAGCAACATAACTAGGCATCAAAGTTTAAATGAGTCAAAATTCCTATCTGATGTCTTCACAAATCTTCATTCCTGAGAGTCTATTTGGACTTATGCTTGAAAGGGAAGGGAAGGTCGTATACTCTTCTTCCATAATTCACTTCTTCATTTAAACATAAAATTCACCCTCCCACCTCCTGGGTGGGAGGCACACGCCTTTGTTTTAAATTAAAGTCAATTTTCAAATGACTGACCACAGTGTCCAGAGGCCACATGATGGCAAAGTGGGAAAGAATGAAGAACTTCAAAGGTCTTCATAACAGTTCTGAGATTGCTCCTCCTGCTAAAGAGATTAGACACAAAAAGATTTCTTTTAGCTTCAATTTAGACCAGTTACTTGTAAGAACAGAAATATTGAATGCTGGATGATGCATTACAAGCACACATGGACCAAGAAATTTCCCCTTTTTAAGAAAAGTCATAACCAACTCCAACTCCCAATTACTCTTTATTGAACAAAACAATCCAAATCCAAAACCCCCCACCCCAATACTTTCCTCAGTACTGTCCCAAAGGGTGGGGGGAAAAGCAAAATGATCAGAGTTCTACATTTTTTCTAAGCTGCTAACCATGCTCTAAGGTGCTAACAAATAATGTTTAACATTCCAAAAAGTGCAGTAAGTAGAGGAGAAATTTTAGGGTACCACACCTTTCAACCCTTCATATATTTAAAGATTGATTAGTCACTAAATGATTAACAAGTGAACAGGAAACCCTTCTCCCAGCACCACAGTTCCTTAAGTGACATTCTTATCACCTTAGAATCCCAAATACAGTGAAATGTTCATGAGAGCTACTGTCCACATTGCTACACACCAACGATTGATAAATATCCTGAATAGTAAAATGAAATGAACACTTCCCTGATTATTCCAAGAAGCTGCTCAACCTCTGAGAGACATCCTTAAATGAGCTGCTGTGAAATATTAACTAGGAAGTGTAAAAAGACAAGAAGGTGAAAAAAATCCTCCCAGGTGTCATTTGGAATGGCAGAGAGCACCTGAAGGTAAAATGGTTAAAAAATAATTGCTCAAATTATGAAACAAAAGTACCCATTTATATAACTTTGATTTTTAAAGTTCCTGCACAAATAAAAACTGGCAATAAAAATATATTCACATGTGCCTGAGAACATACTGAAGTTACAATGAGATACAAACTTTCTACTGAATGTTATGCTGTTAAAAATCAAATTTAAACTTTTCATAGTTCAGTCAGATTAAAAGCTTACTTAGCACCAGTTTTTCAGATCTCTCTCAACATAAATCACAATGAATTCCTTGCATTGTTTTTTTTTTTTTAAGACAGAGTTTCACTCTTGTTGCCCAGGCTGGATTGCAATGGCGTGATCTTGGCTCACTGCAACCTCCACCTCCTGGGTTCCAACGATTCTCCTGCCTCAGCCTCCTGAGTAGCTGGGATTATAGGCGCCCACCACCATGCCTGGCTAATTGTTTTGTATTTTTAGTAGAGATGGGGTTTCACCATGTTGGCCAGGCTGGTCTTGAACTCTTGTCCTCAAGTGATCCGCCCACCTCAGCCTCCCAAAGTGCTGGGATTACAAGCGTGAGCCACTGCACCCGGCCGCACTGATCTTTAAAAAACCTCCTGAGATAGAAAAATCCACTCCACAAGACTCAATATCATGTCTTAACCACTTTAAGGCAATTTTTAACAACTATTCCCACAGGTACCCTGACCAATTTAGTTGTAATCGTTTAAAAATGAATACAACATTGCCATTTTAAACAAACCTAAATCATAATAGGAGAAAGTGGTTTGATCACTAATCAACAGCATTAGTAATGGGCACTCAGGATGACTAATGAGCTGCCTTACACTGGTTAGCTGAGGGCAGCTCATGTTTCCATACCATCCTTGTTCTTCTGAATACACAAAATAAATAAATAAAAACCAAACAAAACAAAAGCTTGTTGAGGCATCAGGCAACAAATCAAAACCAGAGCAAGCAGTACTATGAGCAAGATAAGATACACAGAAATAGCAATACAGAAGACTCCAGCCAATTTAAAGACCTGACGCAGCAACTGCCCCCAAGGAAACATATTATTTAGCTGCAACATAAAGGAAATCTCCAGGAATGTAATAGGTAGGAAAATTCAGCTCAAAATGACCAGCTATTATTGGTACTTTCCAGTAGCAGCCCAATCAAGGTCGGCCTAAAAGAACACTGAATCAAGATTTCAAACCCTACTTTGGTTAGCTAATAACATCCCATAGAGTGAGAAAGACTACCCCGATTCTAGACTAATTCATAAATTAGTCTTCACAAGGAAAGGAAGAAAAAGAAGGAAAGGAGGGAGGGGAGAGAAAAAGAGGAAAAAGAGAAAAAAGGAAAACAAAACTACCAAGCATTAAAAAAAAAAAATCCAGATTCAGTAAGTGACTTGGAGGTGGTTCAGAGCCCTGGGGTGATGGGCTGGCACCAGGGCAGTGGTGTAGCGCAGCCCAAGACAGGGAAATCTGCATGGTGCCTGTCCACTCCCAGAAGTGTCACCTCTGCTCACTTTGGCCCTTGCCATCTCCAACAGACCCAGGTGTGCACCAACCCCTTCAAGTCTACCATCCCATGAGGCCTTTAGAACATGTATGTAACCGACCACACCTTTGTCCCACTTTACTACTGATGTTTACTGCCAAGGAGCCCTAGTTCTTGGGCAATCCCTGAGCAATCACAGACAACTAGGAAACTGGTGATTCTGCTCACATCTCAAGTTTCTGGTCTCAGGACTGTCCTCTGGAGAGTATTTAAAGTAACTAAGAAGCATTTGATAGATAGTGCAGACTAGGTTAGCCTGGTCCTTCCAAAAAGTCCCAAGCTCAGGGTTACCCTCACCAAGCTTCACTTTGGGTCCTCACTCACACAGAAAAATGTTCGCATGAATGTGGGCCCTCTAATGCTAGCCAACACTGACAAGCTATTTGACAGGAAAGAATTTTCTATAGCCCCAGATTCCAGATGGCCAGATTATCTCTAGAGTGGTCTGTCTGCCAATTTTCCCTTGAAATGCATATTCTCCTGTTAAAACAGACAACAGACTATGGTAGCTTTGTTAGGGCTAATCAGTTTAAGGAACAGTTTCTACAATAACTGGTCAACTACAGATATTAACAAACAGTTGTCATTCATCTAACTTGGGTAGTAACACAGCCTACGACTATAATCTTGCCTTCGAATGATTTGGCTCAAATGCAGAAGTTGTCCATGGGGCAGGGGGCCAAAACCTTGAATCTACACATACAACCATCAAACTGGAGTGATTTTTGAAGATGGTTTGGCCTCAGAAGTTTTGGATCAGATTTCCTTTCTTAATACCTGGTGGGAAATCTACAATGACTATATAGTGGCTTTTACTGAAAATCTCCAAGGTATGCAAGAATATGAGCTCCACATGCCAGAGTTTCCCTCGGTGGTCGTGATAGGCCACATGCAAATCAGCAGCAGGTACCAATCTAACTCAGCCTGCTCAGGGCCCTCCAAGACGACCACGTTACTGGGTGAAGTCCTTCCCGCACCCAAACAATCCCATATAAAAACATAGTAAGTTGCCCTAAAACAGACTTTTAATGAAATGATCTGTGATATCAAATTTCACTCTCCCCAAAATTTTCAGCCTTCACAAAGATCCAAACCACACTGCAGCTGGTCAATAAAGGCAGACGTAATCCTTCTGTGGAAGTCTTGGAACTATACCTCAATGCCCCTTTGAGGTTTTTGGGTTGTTTTTTAATTTTTTTCTTTTGTAGAGACAGGGTCTCACTATGTTGCCCAGGCTTGTCTGGAATTCCTGGGCTCAAGCATTCTGACCGCCTCAGCCTCCCAAAGTGCTGGGATTACAGGCACGAGTCATTGCACCTGGCTGATTTTATTTTTGTTTGAGACAGGGTCTCCCTCTGTTGCCCAGGCTGGAGTGCGGCGACGTGATCACAGCTCACTGCAATATCAAACTCTTGGGCTCAAGCGATCCTCCTGCCTCAGCTTCCTATGTTACTAAGTGGGCCACAGGTGTACACCACCACGCCTGGCTAATTTTTTTATTATTTTGTTCCCAGGCGGGTCTCAAACTCCTGGGCTCAAGCAATCCTCCTGTCTTGGCCTCTCAAAGTGCTGGCATTACAGGCATGAGCCACTGCACCCAGCTCAAGGTTTTTTCTTGTTTGTTTGGTTGCCTTTTACATAGATGGGGTCTCACCATGTTGCCCAGGCTAGTCTTGAACTCCTGGGCTCAAGAAATCCTCCCGCCTCAACCTCCCAAACTGCTAGAATTACAGGTGTGAGCCTTATTTACCATACATTTCCTTCTGAAAAGCACATGATTAGGGATAGACAGGTTTTAAGAAGCTAGAAGACTGTCCTAAAGTGTTTTAACTAATTATGTTTGGCCACATTTTAAATCACCCTTAAAACATTTTAGCTCTCCGGGCCAGGGAAATCTATTTAAACTTTAAATTGCGTTTCTTCTGTAGTGGCATCAGTGTGTGCAAGAAGTGGGCTTGGAAGGACTGTTTTTACTTACATCTAGTCAGTCTGCAATCTTTGTTGGCAATGCCCACACGACTGCTTCAGGCTACTTTACAATATATACAAACATGCCGGGAGTGATGGCTCACGCCTGTAATCGCAATACTCTGGGAGGCCGAGGTGGGTGGATCACTTGAGGTCAGGAGTTCAAGATCAGCCTGACCAACATAGTGAAACCCCATCTCTACTAAAAAAAAATACAAAATCAGCCGAGCATAGTGGCACACACCTGTAATCCCAGCTACTCAGGAAGCTGAGGCAAGAGAATCACTTGAACCCGGAGGCAGAGGTTGCAGTGAGCTGAGATCGCACCACTGCAATTCAGCCTGGGGCCAAGAGTGAAACTCCGTCTCAAAAAAAAAAATACACACACACAGCATTACATGTATATATACACAAACACAGCCTTAGGTGGGTTGAATGTGGAGGTGGTAACCATCAGTGCACCACCATAAATATTGTCGGAAAAAAAATATTGGTACTCAGTGGTATGGTGTTGGGCTATCAAAAACTAAAGTCTAAAATCTAGTAAACTTGAGGTAGAATACTCAAAATGATGAATAACAGTCTATTTCAGCTTCTCTGTAAGAGAATTCATGTTTACAGACAACGATTAAATCATGTAAGTTATAAATTAAACAAAGAATTCTGTTTTGCACTCTAGTCCTTATCACATTTGAACACATTTAGATTAAAATTTTAAAGTCAGGGGGAGCCTGAACACAACCACTGACACGTTATCAATCCACCTTTGAGTCTACCAACTAGCCACAAAAAAATTGAGAATACTGTATTAACTAAAGCAGTGCTTCTATATAAAGCAAAAAAAAAAAAAAAAAAAATTCCAAAGCCCAATGTTTACACAGAAATGGATTCTAATTTGATTAACATTTTCTAAACAAGAGACCAATTAGCCTAGGCTCACAAATGTTTGGTAAGAAACAGAAATTGTTTACTGTCCCCCAATAAAAATCCCTCAGTAATATAAAAGTGAGAAAACTCAAATATTATGTATCAAAAGGCTTAGGTGTTAAGATGCTACACAGATACTGTAGTTTCTGTCTTTTTGGTCATTTCCTCCTGTTTTCAGATACTGTAGTTTCTGTCTTTTTGGTCACTTCCTCCTGTTTTCAGATACTGGAAAAAAATTAAAAACCAAAACAAACCCCATCTTCTTCCTTAACATGATGGTACTACTAACAATTTCATTATTGCTTCTGGACTACTAAGAGAGAGAAAGCACTACCTGTGGGATTTGAACAATCTGAAGAGGGAGAGAAAAGATGCTACAGTGAACCAGTCAAAGACTATATAAAACAAGCTTGTATTTCTGGCTACTTGTCTGGCTCTTTTATTTGAGACAAAACAAACAAAAAACCTAAGAGCAAATAGGGATGAAGAAATGAATTAAGCCAGAGGTTCTTACCCTTTTTTGGGTCATGAATTCCTACAGGAATCTGATGAAAGCTATGGACATCTTCCCCAGAAAAATATTCACATAATATTTTGCATATAACATCAGGGGAATGTACACTTCTTGAAAACTATTTACAGACCCAAGGTTAGGAGCCACTGAATTAAAACCGGTTTAGCCTGCCCTTAGCAGCAGCTTAAAATTAGAGATTATCTGCTGCTGGGAAAAAGGTAGGAAGGGAGGGGGAAAAATGTTGCAGTTAAATATAGTCAAGGGCTATACAAAGCAAGGCCACGAAGCAAGCCAGACAGTGCTCCCAATGTGTCCTTACCTGTCAAGGGCTGGCTGAGTTCCGCCTGCACTTTACCCTTCGCTGATCCTTCCAGAGGTAAACCTCTGTCCCCTTTGTAGAGTTTCGGTTTAAATGGAGAATCTTTCTCTTTACCTTTTGATCCTTTAGGCCGGCCTGCTTGCTTCTTCTTGGATTTGCCATCCCCCTTCACACCCAGTAGTGGATGGACTTCTGTAGGACAGACAGGCATGGAAAGGAATCCACATGACACCAGTCCCATCACCCCAACCACAACTTTGTTGAGCAAAGAATGTTGCTTTGCGTCCCGGATCAATTAATAATTATAAAGAGAAAAGTCTGTCTTATTTGTATGACTACAAAACAGTGGCCATTAAATGAGAGATAGCTGCTTGGTCAAAAGGCACACATGGCTTATATCAAGTTTGTGCAACCTGTGGCCCACAGGCTACCTGCGGCCCAGGACAGCTTTGAACGTAGCCCAACGCAAATTCATAAATTTTCTTAAAACATCATGAGTTTTTTTGCAATTTTTAAAATCTCATCAGCTATCATTACTGTTAGTATATTTTATATGTGGCCCAAGACAATTATTCTTCCAATGTGGCCCAGGGAAGTCAACAGATTGGACACCCCTGGCTTACATGTTCATGCCAAGTCACGGTAACTCTAAATTGAACAAGTAGCTGAAAGATGCACTGATACTATCAAACCAAGCCAGAAGAAGGAACACACATACACGCACACACACATACACAGAGAGGCGTGTGAGAGCAGAAAGAGAATGGGCTTTGGAATTAGAGAGACTAGAATGAGAATCCTGACTCCACCACTTCCTGTGAAACTTTAGGCAAGTTACAGAACCTCTTACACGTAACCTCAGCCTAAATTTTCTCCTTTAAAAAGCAGGTAAAACAACTTGCAGGGTTGATGTAAAAGTCAGCAATGGTATATATACCAAAGAGTGTCTGAAACAGAGTAGACACAGAAATCAATAACATCAGGAAAATATGTAGTTGCAAAATGTGATCTGCAGTTAGCTAAAAGAGAAGAGGAAGGGCCGGGTGTGGTGGTTCACACCTGTAATCCTAGCACTTTGGGAGGCCGAGGCGGGCGGATCACTTGAGGTCCGAAGTTTGAGACAAGCCTGGCCAAAATGGCAAAACCCCATCTCTACTAAAAATACGAAAATTAGCCAGGCATAGTGGTGCATGCCTATAGTCCCAGCTACTCGGAAGGCTGAGGCAGAAGAATTGATTGAACCTGGGAGGCGGAGGTTTCAGTGAACCAAGATCACGCCACTGCACTGCAGCCTGGGCAACAGAGCAAGACCCTGTCTCTAAAAAAAAAAAAAAAAAAAAAAAAAGAAGAGGAAGGAGGATGCTCAATAGTAAACGCATACCCCCATCCACCCCTACCTATCCCAAGACATGATAATAAAGGATTCCCAAGTCAGACTATAAAAGGTGGCAGGAAGGATGAAATGATTGTCCAAGTCTAACTAGTACTTTATATCTAATAAAACCACTCTATGGGGAAAAATTTGAAAGAAGAATGGTATAATAAACTCTGAGCCGGCTGTCAGAAGAATTCAAGTGCAGCATTTTAGGCAAAGTACTGAAGGGCAGAATTTCTCCATTTTAAGAGAGAAGTGAACACAGATGCAATCATTATAAAGTTGTAAAGCACTATAAAATAGACTCATGGGAAAATTCCTCTAAGGTAAAATCGCTGAAACAGGAAATTACCAGATTGAGCTGGGGAGCAGAGAGCGGCATCTGTCAGGCCAGAGGGAGAAGATGCAGCTCTTACCATCATTTGGTACTCCTTGAAGTTCTATATTGGTTGTTTTGGGCTTCTTCTTAGGTGGCTGGGACCCATCTGCTGAGGACTGCCTCTTCTTCTCTGAACTAGCCCCTTCATCCATCAAGGAGGTTTGGACTGCATCCGGTGGGGGGCCATAAGGATTTTCTTCTGGGTCTTCTACCTCAGGGGCAATGGGTAAATACAATAGAGCCTTTGAATCTTCCAGCTCTTCATCACTATTTGGAGCAGGATCAGACAAGGGATTGGAAAAAAGAGGAGATAGTTGCTTAAACCATGAGCCCTTCCTCTATCACCTATATTAAGCATAAGCAACAGGTATGGATCTAGAACTTTAAGAAAGCCAAGATGAATAAAAGAGAATCAGACAATGTAATTGATAAAATTGGTGATAAAGATAAAAAGGATAAATAAATTATTGTGGTTCCTTAAAATTCTCTATCAGGGAGAAGTGAAGGGAAAATAGGACTAGAGAAGAAAGGCTACATTGGATTTCTTGTACACCAAACGAGTGATCTCTTTTAGCTAATAAGCAGACGGGACTGAAGGGATAGCCCGGGGAACTGTGGAGTGCTCCCCCAGAGACCAGGAGCAGCAGTAGCCAAGGTGCCCAGCCTTTCGGGCCGGCTCACCTGCTACAGAAGGCAGCGATAGGGTCCACACTGGTGACATCCACTTCCTCATCTTCCGCAGCATCAGCCCCTGACAGGACAGAAACACAGGAGATGTTTGAGAAGTGAAAAACTGCTTTTTATTTGCAGCTTCAAGGTTTTCATAAGCTGAAATTCCAGAGAAAGGAGGAAAACCAAATAGTTCACTTCACTTAATCATTTAACAAATATGTGCTGAATTTCCACCCTATGCTAGGCACTGAAAATAGTGCAATGACCCAGAAACAGTTGGGAACAGCTCTTCAGTAAAAGGTCCAGAGTCTAACTGGGAAGACAGATAGACAGTTTCCATTTAATACAGTAATGGTATGTGTAATGTGCTCAGGATATGGGAAGGAGGAACAATTTATGTGGAAATCTGGGAAAGTTTGACAGAAGGTAACCCTAGAATCTAGAACATTCTGCTTCCCTGGAGGTCCTCCTAAAACACATTAGGCATGCAAGTTATCTAATATCACAAAAGTGAGGACCAGCACTTTCAAACTAGAGAACCAACCTCATTCCCAATCCCCTGATTCCTGGCACCATCAAGTGTCTCAGGAGTCAATAATCTGTGGCATTAATTACTCACTGGCAGTGCCAATTGAGCATCCTAAGCATTCACCCACACAAACCTTACTATTTTATAAAGCCCTGTGTTAGACACCATGGGGATAAAACGTCAAATCTTTATTCTTAAGGAGCTCCTATCTAGAAATTCAGAAGAGATAAAATCAGTCATAATCGTAATGGAAATTAACATCTTAGTGCTTATTATGGCCTAGGCATATACTAAGTGCTTTACATAAATTATTTCACTTACTCCCCACGACCCTAAAAAGCAGGTACTATTATTATCCCTATTTTACAGATGAGGAAATTCAGTTTAAGTAGTATTTTGCCCAAGGCAGTCTGACTTCAGAGCCCAGGCTCTTGACCGGTCTCTTACTGACAAAGGAGTGATGTTGTTGGAAGTCAGGGACCCTGAACGGAGGGACTGGCTGAAGCCGAGGCAGAAGAACATAAATTGTGAAGATTTCATGGACATTTATTAGTTCCCCAAATTAATACTTCTATAATTTCTTACACCTGTCTTTACTGTAATCTCTGAACATAAATTGTGAAGATTTCATGGACACTTATCACTTCCCCAATGAATATCCTTGTGATTTCCTATACCTGTCTTTACTTCAATCTCTAAATCCCGTCATCTTCTTTGTAAGCTGAGGAGGATGAATGTCGCCTCAGGACCCTGTGATTGTATCAACTGCACAAATTGTTTGTAGAGCATGTGTGTTTGAACAATATGAAATCTGGGCATCTTAAAAAAAGAACAGGATAACAGCAATGTTCAGGTAACAAGAGCGGTAACTTTGAACTGGCCACCGGTGAGCCGGATGGAACAGAGCTATATTTCTCCTCTTTCATGAGCAAATAGGAGAAATATCGCTAAATTCTTTTTCTCAGCAAGGAACATCCCTGAGAAAGAGAATGCACCCTGAAGGTAGGCCTATAGACGGCCCCTTTTAAGGCGTCCAGTCCACATCTTTTATGGTCGAAGCCAAAGGGATGAAATAAGCCCCGGTCTCCTATAGCGCTCCCAGGCTTATTAGGACGAGGAAAATTCCCACCTAACAAATTGTGGTCAGACAGGTTATCTGCTCTCAAACCCTGTTTCCTGATAAGACGTTATCAATGACAATGCCTGCCGGAAACTTCATTAGCAATTTTAATTTCACCTCAATTTCACCTCATCCGGTGGTCCTGTGATCTCGCCCTGCCTCCGTTTGCTTTGTGATATTTTATTACCTTGTGAAGTATGTGATCTCTGTGACCCACACCCCATTCATGCACTCCCTCCCCTTTTGAAAACTGCTAATAAAAACTTGCTGGTTTTATGGCTCGGGGGACATCACGGATCCTGCCGACATGTGATGTCTCCCCTGGATAACCAGCTTTAAATTTCTCTCTTTTGTGCTCTTTCCCTTTATTTCTCAACCCAGCCGAGACACTTAGGAAATAGAAAAGAACCCACGTTAAACATCGGGAGCGGGTTCTCCCGATAGAGTGACAGAATACACGGGAAAAGCTGAGCACTCTTAGCATGGTGAGTTCTTTGCTAGGTGCTGCATGTATGTCCTCAGTCATCTGCAATTAATCAGGAAATACACAATGATATGTTAAGAGAGCTGCTTGAGCCCTGGGAATACCCAAATAAGCCCTTAGTTAACACCTTATAAATTAGGGCTCTCCAAATACCGTGGAGACTGTGTAAGCTTAAAGGAAAAAGAAGGCCAGGTTCATAGGCCAGGCACAGTGGCTCATGTCTGTAATGCCAGCACTTTGGGAGGCCAAGGCAGGTGGATCACCTGAGGTCAGGAGTTCCAGACCAGCCTGGTCAACATGGTGAAACTCCGTCTCTACTAAAAATACAAAAAATTCACCGGGCATGGTGGCAAGCACCTGTAATCCCAGCTACTCGGGAGGATGAGGCAGGAGAATCGCTTGAACCCAGGAGGCGGAGGTTGCAGTCAGCCAAGATCACACCATTGCATCCAGCCTGGGCGACAAGAGCGAAACTCTGTCTCAAAAAAAAAAAAGTGGGGTGGAAAGGGGACATTTTAGATGAAGTGCTGAAATAAATTTACAACACAAATGAAGAATATTAAGTAAAGCAATCATTTTCCCTTTAGGAAATCCTATCCGCAATTGAGAAATATTACCTGTCTGCTCAGGCTCACTCTTATCTTCATCTTCAATATCAAACTCTGATTCCCTTTCTTCATATTCTACATTTTCATCCAATTCTTTGAAGTCTGGTGCAAATGCACTCCAGTTTTCCTATACAACAAAATATACTACTTAACTATACGTGAAAGCAATAATCTGTAATCTACACATTAATGATAAAATGAAAGATCGAGCATGAAAGGAATTCACAATTCTTAGATTAAATTTCGCAGATAAGAAAAAAAACGGGTATCTGTAAGTTTTACTAGCTTAGGTATTTTCTATCTTAAACGTTCTAAGTTATTAACTGTAGCTCTTTTGAGTCACTGCCTTCTTTGCTTTAGGAATTTTGAGATAAAATGTTAAATTTTCTTGTAAGTACACTGATTACAAATGTAATTTAAAGGTGTTCAAAGTAAAATTAAGATATAAAACAGAAACTGACCTGAAAGTAAGAAAAGCAAAAGAAAAATGTATCTCAAATAAATAATAGAAAAAAGCAACAGAAAGTTCACTAGAGCTTCTCCCTGAAAAGAGCCAGAAAACCAACTTGGGACCAAGACCTTCCCACCAAAATAAAGTGCAACTAGATGCACTGAACCTATGTAATTTAGGTTGCAAGAATCATACGCAAAAGAAAATAAATAAGGTAATTTTTAGCTTCCTATGTATAAGGTTCTTTGATAAAAAGAAGGGTATCTAGTTTCAAAGCAAGTAAAATAGAATACTTACTACTTGATTCTGTGCCCAGATAGATACCACTCCACTGGAGATGGATGCTATGATGGGTCGAACAGGATGCCACTAAGTTTTAGTGAAGGAAAGAAAAATAGATTGTTAAGAACAGATTCCAGATTTTTTTAGATTATGTGACTAACAAGAGCAATGTCCTAATGTACTCACAGCTACATCCAAGAGGAGTTCTCCTCTCGTCCCATGGAGAATTTTCACCAGGTTGCCAATGCTCTTCTCCCAGATGTAGAGGGCGTGCTGCCGTGCAGAACCTGCCACGATGTATTCCCCATCCCCAGAGAAACAACATTTCTTCCATGGGGTCCTAAAGGACAAGGAAAGTACCAAGGAGAGCTGGAACTCAAGCCCAGGTCATGAATGATCACATATTCTTCTAGGCTGTGATACATACCTATTCACCAAATCCTGCAATTTCTGCATAGGTTCAGGCTCTCCATCTCTTCCACATGTTAAGATTTCTCTGCCATCATAAACTCTGATTATTCGATCTGCTGTGTTAATTAAAAAGCAACTACAGGAAGGATAAAAATATCAACACCAGAGGTCAGAAATCTGTTCCTTAGTACTACAAGACAACTAATAAACTGGTGAAGAATTGAGGGAAAATCTAAGTAACAGACTAGAATATTTATGTATCTACTTGTCATCTCCCAAACCAAAATATAATTTGAAGTGGGAGTATGTTTTATACTTCCTGTGTATCCCTAAACCCAAAATATACAAACTGTCAATATTAACTAAGTTCCAAGACCTCTCTACTGAAACCAGCTTGCTAAATTCACAAGTTTACAGTGAAATGGATATAAATACTTCATTCCTCTGGCCTGTTTTACATATAATCTTCTAAATGAGGTAATAAACTAAATATGTCATTTTAAAATGTCATTTTTACTGTAATGACATTGAAAATCTTAGACATCTGTATAAAATATTAGTTATTTCATCACTTTCTTACAGACTTCACTGACTGTAACCTTTTCTTAATTCAACAGAATTTTGAACATTAATATCCTCTAAGTCAGCTGTCTCCAACGTTTTTGGCACCAGTAACTGGTTTTGTGGAAGACAATTTTTCCACGGACCAGGCTGGCAGGAGGGTTATGGTTTCAGGATGAAACTGTTCCACCTCAGATCATCAGGCATTAGATTCTCATAAGGAGCGTACAACCTAGATCCCTCACATGTGCAGTTCAAAATAGGGTCCGTGCTCCTGTGAGAATCTAATGCTGCTGCTGATCTGACAGGAGGCAGAGCTCAGGCGGTAATGTTCACCTCCAGCTGTGCGGCACGGTTCCTAACAGGCCAATACTGGTCCGTGGTCCGGGGGTTGGGGACCCCTGCTCTAAGTCATGTATGGGTGTTCCTAAACAAAATAGGAGGACTATTACCTCTTACTGACAACCTATTTCCTATTTCTGTTGATATATTCTACGACTTCTAACTAGGTAACCAACCTTATCAGAATAACATCCAAAATTAAAAGGGTAAATAGGCTATATTCAGTTACAATGTGAATTTGATGACATCAGTTCTGATGATAATAATAGTTATCATATACCCAGTGCTTACTATACGCCAGGCATTTTGGTTCTAAGCACTGACCATTTACTTATTTTTCTGTAAAGTAACTGCCTGACAACCTCCAAATAAGGAAGATGTAACTACTGCAGGAAATTTTATGAACTCAAAAACCAGAGAAGTTTCTAAAAACCTTAAGTACATTTTTTAAAGAAGTTTAATATACATGAAAACTGCAAATTTCCATGTATTTCTGCATTCTACTCACTCTTAAAACTGTCCCTAAAAAGGTAAGATCTCACTCACCTCCCCTTCCGGGCAAACTCAATTGACTTAATGGCCGTGGTATTGCTTGTTCCAGTTGTTACTCTGAAGGAAGCAACAAGATCCTGAGAATCCGTTTTTAGGACCAAAATCTGAAGTTTAAAGGAGGGGGAGAAAAGTAAGTGTTCCGATAACTAACAGTAATTAGATTTGGCTTGTTTCTAATACTGCATAAAGACTGGGTAAAAATGTAAATGTCTCTATTCCATATATTTAACCTGATTAACTGATATTGCTGTTCTGCCTCCTTAAATAAGACAAGGTCTTAATCTATTTTTTTTTTCTTTTTTTTTTTTTTTGAGACAGAGTTTCACTCTTGTTGCCCAGACTAGAGTGCAATGGTGCGATCTGAGCTCACCACAACCTCTGCCTCCTGGGTTCAAGCGATTCTCCCGCCTCAGCCTCCTGAGTATCTGGGATTACAGGCATGTGCCACCATGCCCGGCTAATTTTGTATTTTCAGTAGAGACGGGGTTTATCCATGTTCGTCAGGCTGGTCTCAAACTCCCAACCTCAGGTGATCTGCCTACCTTGGCCTCCCGAAGTGCTGGGATTACAGGCATGAGCCACCATGCCTGGCCAATTTATTCTTAAAATATTATGTTTAGCATTATTCACAATAGCCAAAATACAGAAGCCACCCAAGTATCCACTGACAGATAAGCCATATAAACAAAAGTGGTATATACATAAAATGGAGTATTATTGAGACTTGAAAAGGAGGAAAATTCTGACACATGCTACAACATGGATGAAATTGAGGACATTAAACTAAGTGAAATAAGCCAGTCACAAAAGGGCAAATACTATATGATTCCCCTTTTATGAGGTACCTGGAGTAGTCAAATTCTTAAAGAGAGAAGGTCAAAGGGTGTTTTTAGGGGCTAGCAGAGAGCAGGGAATGGGAAATTATGATTCAATAGGTACAGAATTCCAGTTTTACAAGATGAAAGATTTCTAAAGATGGATGGTGATCACTGCACAACAGAGTGAATGTACATTAATACCACTGAACTGTACAATTAAATATGGCTGAAATGATAAAATTTACGCTGTGTGTATTTTATCACAATTTCTTAAAAATCACCTTTCTAGGTCGGGAGCGGTGGCTTACACCTATAATCCCAGCACTTTAGGAGGCCGAGGCAAGCGGATCACCTGAGGTTGGGAGTTTAAGACCAGCCTGATCAACATGGAGAAACCCCAACTCTACTAAAAATACAAAATTAGCCAGGCATGGTGGTGAATGCCTGTAATCCCAGCTACTTGGGAGTCTGAGGCTGAGAATCGCTTCAAGCCGGGAGGCAGAGGTTGCGGTGAGCCGAGATCATGCCATTGCACTCCAGCCTGGGCAACAAGAGCGAAACTCTTATCTCAAAAAAAAAAAAAAAAAAAAATGCCTTTCTAAGGCCGGGTGCAGTGGCTCACACCTGTAATCACAGCACTTTGGGAGGCTGAGGTGGACAGATCACTTAAAGTCAGGAGTAATCCCAGCTACTCAAGAGGCTGAGGCAGCAGAATCACTTGAACCCAGGAGGTGGAGGTTGCAGTGAACTGAGATCACACACTGCACTCCAGCCTGGGCAACAGAGTGAGCCTCCATCTCAGAAAAAGACAAAAAAAAAAAGCAAAACGTGCCTGTCTAAAATAGCCATGAAATTACACTAGCCCATGTGCCCCAGTCAAAAAATAAAAATAAAAATAAATCAAGATGCTCAGTGGAACTACTCTAAGCATGAAAAGAACCTTTAAAGGTCACCTGACCTGACTTCTTATTCCACAGAAGAAACACCTTCTACAATGTATTCCAGAGAAAAGGGCCTACACATTCCAAAAGGCAAGGTCAGAAGTTAACAAAAAGGAAAAAGAATAAGTCTCAGTACTATAAGTTAAGTTTGCCTGAATTATACAATCTTTTATAAAACCAGATATTAAGACATTTTGATCAGCAGTGTTCCAGTTGATAACATGACATTGATTGAAGTTTTATAATTTCATAATGGCCCTTCATTACTAGCATCCAGTAAAGGTCCTTCCACGCTTTTCTAGGTCAAATAATCTCTATCACTCTAAATCCAAAGATCAAAAATTATTGTTAAGCAATGGAGGAAAATTAGACTACATTTGCTGCAGGCAGGAACTGTGCTTAGTCCAAGAATAAAAAAATTTTCAAAGGAAACAAAACAAGTAAACATTAAATGAGCCAGTGTACAAGATGCCTGATTTGCCAGCTTTTAGGCTTACCTTGCCTTTTGCGTTTCCTGTATAAATATATTCCCCTCGCCTATCAAAAGATGCCACAACGTTCAAATCGGAGTCATCATCCACCGGCAGAACAACATGTTTGGAATCTGAAAGGGTCAACATGACAGGAGCAGATTTCATGGGACACACGAGAACCTTGTTCCTGTTTAAAAATACGAACAGTACATTGGCTGTTGCTTTGGTATCAGCAAGCTGATTCCCTGTTCTTTTCCCTGATCCCTGTCCATACCCTGATCAACTTGCCCAGCCCAAGCAAATTTGAAACAGTGAAAAAGCATAAAATCCACAAGTCTAATAACAGGGAAAATTCTGAGTAAAATTAGTCTTGATGAAATAACACATAATCATTTAAAAAAAAATAAGAAACCGGGCGCAGTGGCTCACACCTGTAATCCCAGCACTTTGGGAGGCTGAGGTGGGCAGATCACTTGAGGTCAGGAGTTTGAGACCAGCCTGGCCAACACGGTGAAACCGCATCTCTACTAAAAATACAAAAACCTATCCAGATGTGGTGCCTATGCCTGTAATCCCAGCTACTTGGGAGGCTGAGGCAGGAGAATCGCTTGAAAATAGGAGGAGGGTGCAGTAAGCTGGGACTGCGCCATTGCACTCCAGCCGGGGCATCGCAGCAAGACTCCATCGCAAAAAAATTAAAATTAAAATTAAAAAAAAAATAAAATTTAAATTAAAAAAAAAG